TACCGTCATTCGTCAAAAAAATTATACTAAAAAGTCGCAGTTATGTGGACTTATCTCTCAGACTTCGGCTGAAATGCCACCCAAAAATGGCGGCGTGCATGAGAAAGGCTAATTGAAATAGCTGTATGTATTTTACCTAACACTTGAGTTATAGAAACTACACAAACAGCACTAAAAAGTTCGCAAATATCGCGAGTTCACAATCCTTTCGATTTTTCAAGAACATCAAACGTACACGTCTACAGTTTAATTAATATATATAACTGTCACAACTTGTGTTTGGAAAGCTGCAAGTGCGTTGCCAAGTAGAATACGCGCAGGTAGGAATGTTGCAGTCTGCGCATTATAATCATTGATTTCACTTTAGTTAAGGTTATATATTATACAGAGGATCACCCAAAAGGTTTCTTTGTTTTTTATCAAAGCTCTCAAGTAAATTAGCACTTAACAATTTAACCAAGTTTGAAGAGAGTTTCGAAAACTCACCGAGTTAGAAAATAACATGTTTTCCCCGCATTGGCAAGTGGCGACAAAGTTTATTTTTCCAGTTCGGCAGAATAATTTATTGTGCGTCGTTTACATCAGTCTTCGCCCTTATATGGAACGAACTGTCGAAAGAAGTTAACTTTTCTGCAATCTCATTGGTTAAGGGCTGTTCTATTTAGTTTGTGTATGGCGTGTTCGGCTTTATTTCAGTCTTGAATATTTAATGAGTTACAGGAAATTCTTTGAAAAAATCTAAAATATTATTATAACCCTCAGACAAATAGCTATATTAATAAAGGAACGATGAAATCAATATAGAAAAATCCGTACCCACTTTTAGAACACCTATATTGGGTGTATAATAATGACATTTTCAGGAATAACTGTAAAAACCGTCAGGAGCATTAGGCCGTTGCGTGAAGGTACCGCGATTCAAAATTTTCTCAAAGCAATTCATGTTCATCAAGATATTTTATTTGATGCCAATACCACTTTCACCCAAACGCTGATCGTATATACTATAATTCAATAATATACTTTTGACTTACAACATCTATTGAGTATTGTGGGTACGATTTATACTTGGGGATAAACAAAATATATCCTGCATGTCTATAGTGAGTATGTACATATACACGCTGTATACGTTATTCGTTAATTTTTTATGCATTTTCAAGTAATGTTAACTTACCTAATACTTCACTTATAGAAACTTTAAAAACAGCACTAAGAGGTTCACAATTGTCGCGAGTTCACAATCCTTTCGTATACACGTCTGCAGTTTAATACTTAAGCGTCACAACTTAATTGTGTTTGGAAAGCTCCAGGTGCGTTGCCAAATAACGAGAATACGCTGCAGGTAGGAATATTGTCTGCGCATGCGTTAAGGCTGATTTACACTGCACAATTTTTTGCCTAAACTCTCGCATGCAACCTGCTTACAACCTGAGGAGTGCTGTGTCAATTAACCACACAACTCACCTACCACAAGTAAATATGCTAGTTAGAACCGCCGAGAGGTTGCAGGGGGCTCGGGGTTAAACATTCCCAGCGGGCACCCGATGACGTCATAATTGTAAAAGGGAAAAGCGGTGTTTTGCAATATATTACACTTTATCCCATATTATCCGGCATTAACGCAGCTAGGATTTATGATTCTCAGTTAAACAATCTTGTGTCAAGAAAATCTAAGGTGCTCCATGTACACCCTAAGAAACAAGCAATAAGATTAGCAAAAACATGTAATTTCTGACAGGACTATTGAAGGTTACTACAGGTTATAACTGACGGTGCTGATGTTTTTCGTATTAGCGCGAATTTTTTACCAAAAATACTTTAATCAACGAATTAAGAAAGCCAGAAACAACCAGTTTGCGATATGCTCGTTTTAGTTTGAAATAGGAGAAAATTCCATTTTTATTCAAATACCTTCTTAATTTAAGTCTTGTTTACATTGCAAGCCTTCGCCTGACTGTGGCAGCCTGTAACTCTGATACGTTTACACTTTCATATTATCCTAGTACTTTGCTTAGGCAAGGCCAACGATCGCATTGGGCCCAGATTGTCTCGCTATAGGTGAATGTTGTTTACACTACTAAAATATAGGCCAAAGCAAGGCTCAGGCCAGACCATGAAAGGCTTGCAGATAAACACCTAATTAGAATAAATGCATGGATTTGCTCCTCCGAGCGGGTTTTCTGAATATATATATATCCCGACCGTGTAATTGGAAGAGCATCAACCTGGCATTTCGAAGGTCGCGAAAAGTAAGGGAAACCCGGCAACGGCAGGCAGAAATTTGCGCTTGACATTATTTGTGCGGTTTAAGCCCGATTCACTCGAGAGCAATTCATCATATTCATATATATATATATTCATAAGATATTTTATTCGTTCAATCGTTCCCAATACCACTTTAACTCGTGCAAACGCTGACTGTATACACTATAATTCAATAACAGACTTTAAATTTGACTTACAACATCTATTGCGAGTATTGACTGCATGCATGTATTGTGAGTATACGATTTATACTTAGGATAAACGCAATATATCCTACATGTCCATATGTATAGTGAGACGTATACACTGTATATATACGTTATTCGTTAATTTTGTATGTATTTTCAAGTGATGTTCACTTACCTAATACTTCACTTATATAGAAACTATAAAATCAGCACTAAAAAGTTTACAGTTGTGGCGAAGTTAACAAATCCTTTGGATTTTTAAAGAACACGTACGACTCGTATGTTTGAACAGCTGCAAGTGCCGAAGTGTATTCCATGGTTGCCAAGTAAAATACGCTGCATCTAGGAAATTTGTCTGCGCATGCGCTAAACCTCTCGTGGTAAATAGAAGGAAACATTCATGGCCATGAGCGATTAAATTTAGCAATCAGCGTTGTATAGAATTTTGGCTCAGTGCTTTTCCATTCAAAGAAAAATTTTAACTTCAAATTGTCGTTAAATTTATTTTTATTCAAGAATAATGCAAGGGTATAAATTTGCGACTACGAGTAAACTAAAGATGCAGGCAAAATATAAAAACGTTTAGAAACTAAAGTACTGAATAAAAAGTCCACTTTTACGTAATTTTACTTGTCACTTATTATTACTGCCGATTTCTGGAAATTCACCATAGATTAAAAAAAGAAAGTTGTTTGTGCCTTTCTAGATTTAAGGAAAGTATTCAATGTTATTGATCATGACATTTTCATCAGTAAACTTTCGAAACAAGGAGTAAATGCGAACGAACTCGAATGGTTTAGAAGTTATTTACAAGGGATAACTCAATTCGTCTCGTGTGGTGGCGAGGAGTCTGAAAGACGTTTAATTTAATTACGTACGGAGTTCCGCAAGGTTCAGTCCTTGGTCCCACTCTGTAGTCAACATTCATATCAACGGCATTGGTGATGTCTGCATGCGAAGACAACGAGACAGCGTTAAATTGACGACATCAGATCAAGATCCATGCGAGTGCAAAAGATATTGATGCAGCGGAACAAAAGGTAAACGAAGATCTTACTAATATTGCGACTTGGTGGAAACAGAACGGCTTAATCAGCAATCATAAGAAGTGCGAGGCAATGCTGATTGGATCTAGGTACACTGCAAAGAACACGAGAAAGTTGCAGGTTATACTCGACGGAAATCCAATGAAACAAACAGAATACTTCCAGGATCTATAGGAGTTTATGTCGATGATTGTCTCACTTGAAATAAACATGTAACTTATCTACAATCTAGGGTGTATCCAAAACTGAAACTGCTTGATAGAATTTTATTATTCTTAGCCGCAACATTTTGCTTAGAATCTATAAGCAAACTGTGTTACCTCTGTTAGACTACGGATGCGTCGTATGGGGGAATGTGGTAAGGGGAATGCTGAACGCTTAGAACGTCTATAAAATCAGGCTATGCGTATAATATTGCAGACAAGTCGTAATAAGGTTAATTGAGTTTCCATTGACAGTATTGTCTACTGGCTCATTTTTGAAAAGCATTATAGTACATACAGTCGCTCGAGGTCAACCTTTTATTGATTCAAAATACCTAAATATTAAACATAATTTTCTTACTATATGTTGTCGCGTAATAATTGTCCAAAATTACGAATCTAAATTGTGAATTTTTCATTTTTTTAAAACTGTATCTAACCACCATAAACTCTTTTTAATTACTGTGTTTTCGTGCATGAATAATGACGTATTTTTCTTTTGAAAGGTGACTAAAGCAACAGAACTGATCATGAAACACAGTTATAGTATATCAGTATCTCTTGTGACCGATGTAGTTATTCAGATAGTTGTAGAAAAATGTTGTTTTTTTGTAAAAAAAATACCTGATTAAATGTTTGATTTGAGAACCGAGCTGAAGAGTCTCTAAATTTCCAGACGTTTCTCAATTCTCGTCCCTACACCTCAGGGCCAAGCTACGTTTCTCTTCGTACCGTAGCGCCATTCCCTTCCATACGCCCATTCGAATATAAACCTTTTGCTTTTTAAGTAATTTAAGTGCTCGCGAAAGTAAGTTGAAAATTAAACTGTTACCGGCAAAAAAGCAATATCAATAAACATATAGGTGCACGGAAAGGAAAAAATTGGGGGGGGGGGGTGAAAGAAATTTACTCGACTTTTTTGCTTTTTGCCCCACTCATCAAAAAACAATTCCGTATAAAATTCACAAAATTCTTGTCGACGGGCGGGAAGTTTACATATTTTTTGTATTTTCGACTATTATCTTAAAGTGTATATGCAATGAAAATTTCAATTTTGTGATTTTTGCATAATCTGAAAATTTCATATTTTCTGATCATTTTAATACCAACCTTGTTGAATACTTCGAACTAGAAGTTTGTGAATTTTGCGTTTAAAGTTGGGCTATGAAAATTTTAGCTGATGAAATTCCTCGCGCGGCCAAGAGGTCATGATGACGTATGCAGTGTGACACAGTGC